GGGTGTGCAGGAGGCAGCTGATCGATGTTTCTAACTATCCCTCTCTCTTCCTCTCTGTAAAAAAATCAATAAAATATATATATATTTTTTAAATGACTAGGTTTTTGGCCTAAGCCCCTGCATATTTGGATAAAGACTAAGGGTAGAATAGTTTGAGGAGAGGCGTTGGAATCAAGAGTTAGAGGCATATTATGTATCCATGTGAAGATAAAGTAGGATTGAATGTTCTAGTCCAGAGGTGAGATAAGTTAGATGATGTGGGATAAATTATATTAGAGGAAGGGGGAGTGAAGAAAAGTTCCTTCATTGTAGTGTATTCAAGGGGGACTCAGCACTAATGTCTTTTTCAGTGTAGTCCAACTCTAAAATTATCCTTTCTGTCGGTCTTTCTGCTCACTCCCCAATTCCCATGTCTACCCTCATCCTTTAGGTATTGTTGCTTGGCATGCTCTAATCCATTATTTCTGGTTAAAAGTTGTGAAGGCTACAAAAAGTCTTGCAGTAATTCAAGAAGATGTATTGATCATAGAAGTTCATTAATGGCAACTTACTAAGAAAAAATAATTTACTGAGAAATGCCATAGAAAGATACTAACTCCTATCATTTAAAGGGGGAGAAATGGGAGGGAGGGGGTTACTTCACCATAGCAGCAATTCTTTCATGCTTATGAAGAAATATAGAGCATTACTATATAGGAGTGTGCTTGGGGAGCACACAAGATATTCTCAGCTTTTTCAAATCCATTTGGTAGATATATAGGAACTATAGGTTATGATACCAGAGTGGTTTAAAAGGCTTTGAGGAAGATTTAAAAATACAGTGACCAGAAGGTTTGGCAGTGAAAGAGACAATTTTTTCCCAGCAAATCACTTAACTAAGGGAAAGTGGAGAAGAGAACATTTTAGTTCTGAGATAAGTCAAATTTAACTTTCTGAAAACTAACATAATTCTGTTACAGACTTTTTTCTTTTTGACTATTATACATGATTTATACCAGTTGTGTTTAAGTAGCCATTGTTACAGCTTTGTGGTCTTTTGCATATATATATGTGTGTGTGTGTATATGTGTGTGTGTGTGTGTGTGTGTGTGTGTGTGTGTGTATATATATATATATATATATATATATATATATATATATATATATACGACTCTTTGACAGGTAGCTATGATGCACACTGACTACCAGGGGGCAGACACTCAACACACAGGCATGGAAACGGTACAAAATGATGAAACTCAGGGTGAGAGCAGGAAGACATTAACCAAAACCCTTTGAATTCCTGTAATGGTGGGGTCCGTCGACCTGGCCTGCGGGAGATCAGTCCGAAACCAGCAGTCCAACATCCTCTGAGGGGTCCCAGATTGCAAGAGGGCACAGGCCAGGCCTAGTATTATAATAAAAGAATAGCCAAACTGAAACCGGTTTGGCTCAGTGGATAGAGCGTCGGCCTGCAGACTGTAGGGTCCTGGGTTCGATTCCGGTCAAGGACATGTACCTTGGTTGCAGGCACATCCCCAGTGGGGGGAGTGCAAAAGGCAGCTGAACTTATGATTCTTTAGTCTCTCTCCCTCTCCTTCTCCCTTCCTCTCTGTAAAAAAAATCAATAAAATATATATATATATTTTTTAAAAAGAATAGCCAAAATAAATCTTAGGTAGACATGGCTGATATCTGTTCAATTACCTGTGCTAGTTCTGTACTATAACCACAGATGCTCATTTTTTAAACCAGGTTTATTTCTGATAAAAGAAACTAAACTAATATGAATAAAGTTTTATGTGTAATTACATTGTTATATGAAACATATTATTTTCAGCCTCTTAAAAGCACAGTTAAAAAGCATTGTTTGTCTTGCTTAAGGGATCCAACCTGTGGAAATGTTCATATATTATAAAATCAGTTCTGGGCTTATGTTTTTCTAGGCATGGCTGCCCCAGTGAAATATAATGTATAGTCATTTTGTGCAATCAAGCATTAGAGACATGTTAAGAAGGATTGAACTTTAGGGCTGGAAGGGCCAGAAGAGATATGCATTGTCTGAAATCACATGATTCATTCCTAGGCATTTTGAAGGAAACCAGAAAATATGAATCTCCTTAAAAAGCTATACTGAAGTCATGTTTGATGTTCAGATACTCATAAATTTGAAAAACATTGTTTTTTAATTCGGCCCATGAACTATATTCTGTTTGGTCATTTAATATTTAGGCAAGAAGTAACTCATCTAAATATTTCTAGTTTGTTTCCCAACCTTTATAGAGAGAACCACATTTAAAAAATATTTTTTAATTTGAAAGTAATGCATGTATATGGTTATTTAATATAATAAAAAACACAAAGGAATATACTTTGAAGAATAATTCTTCTCATCACTCATCTGCAGTCATTTCTAATATGTAATTTCTTTTATACCTGTTTTCCTTTTAAAACTTAGAGATTTTTTTATCAATACATATATATCTTTTCCCCCCCTGTTGATTTGAGAGAGAAAGAGAGAAAGAGAGAGAAACATCAATTTGTTATTCCACTTATTTATGCATTCATTCATTGGTTGATTCTAGTATGTGCCCTGACCAGGGATTAAACCCACATCCTTGGCATATGGGAAGAAACAAATTGTTCTGCCTGGCTAGAACCACTATGTAGAGATCTATACCAGTTTGATTTGCTGCATCATCTCTTTCATTGTTTGAAGTCTACTTAAAGATGTATCGTTTATTAATGGACATTTGTTTTCCCCGCTGTCTTACCATTATTATAAATATGCTCCATTTGCCCTGGTCAGGGGGCTCAGTCAGTGGGAGCACCATCCCATACATCAAAAGGTCGTGGGTTCAGTTCCCTTCTCGGTTGAGCACATGTGGGAGGCAACTGATCAGTGTTTCTCTCTCATCAGTGTTTCTCCCTTTCTCTTTCTTAAAAATCAGTAAAAATATCCTCGGGATGAAAAAAAATATGCCACAGTGAATATCTTTGTATATACATCTGCGCACACCTAAGATGTAAAATAAATTCCTAGGAGAGCTATTGCTAAGCCAGAAGATACTGGCATTTAAAATTTGACAGCTAGGGTCAGGGTCACATACAAATAAAATAAGATCAGTTATGATAATTGTCCTCCAGAAAGAAGAATTGTGTAATTTCCTCCAATAACAGTCAATTCCAGTAAACACCTTGCTTCACAAATAAAAGGAAAGCATAACTATTAAAAGGAACTCCCCCTCAAACTTTGAGGGTTTTTCTTTTAATTTTATGTGTTCTGATAATTAATATTTAAATCTTGTTTCTGTTCATAATAATGCCTTAGTAAATGTGTGTGCCTCACTCTTTTTCCAAAAGTAAGTGCAATTTTTCACATTAACAAAGGGATGAATTCTCAACTCTTGAATCTGTGCTGTAGTGTGCATTCCAACCAGTGGGACTTCTTGATGTGAAATCAACAATGTTAGCACTGAGCCACCATTAACTACCTAATTCTGTGCATTCAAATCTGTATGTGCCCTGTATGTTGAGATATTAGCAAATATTTGTGCAGTTCTTCATAAAAATGAGTATACAAAAAGGAACAACAATATAGTATTTTTATTTAGAATAGTTTTGCATTAGCCTTTTGACTTTTTTTTTTTTTTTTTTTTTTTTGTATACAACCTTGTGTTTTGGAATGTGTTTTGGAATGAAGTTCGTTATTGAGAGGATGAGAATCTGGATTATATTTATATATGTGTAGTCAGACTGATTCATTTCAAATGCTGCATTATATTTTTATCAAATAATCACAAAGGAAAAGAAAAACAGATATAGATGTTTAATAAGGAAAAACTGGCCTATAGAAAATACCAAAGAGGTTATTACAATAGCAGAATTTAAGCCAATTTTGTTTTTCAAATGTCATGGGCATAGAAAGAGTTTAGCAATAGTTTTATCTGTATTGCGTAAGTATGGGTGATTTAAAAATTTGTTTTTAAAGTTTTTTTTTATTTTTCCACTATGAACACATGAGACCTTGTAATTAAAAAGGCCTTCAGCGCTCTTTGAAGAGATAATTCCATATACCTCGAGTTTCTATTTTCTGTCTTCAACGTTTCCTTCATTAACCTCTCCCCCTTCCCCCTTGGTTTATTTGCTTTGTTTGCATGGGTCCTTGCTTATGTTTTTTTGTTTTTCCTGATCATGATAGAGGCTGGTTTGAAAATCAAGGAACCAATTTTCAATAAGATAAATATGATTTATAGCATCGCTTTTTCTATCCGTCTTGCATTTGTTCTTGTTATTAGCTGGAACAAAGCCAATGATCACCATTATTTTTTGGGGGGTTAATTTTTATTTTCTATTTTTTATACAATGTTAAGGTAACCATGTGAAAAAATCTTATTCTCAGCTGCTGCTAAAGAAGACATAGGGAAAAAAAGGGAAGAATGAGGAAGGACAAAGGAGACCATTGATATTTGAATTATATTAAATTTAAAAATAACTTTTTAAATACTGCAAAGAAACCCAGATTTGGTGACATGTAAATTACTTATAATCCATTCATTGCATCATCATTTTATAGCCAGTATGTCATTTACCACCATTTTTATTTTTTAAATATATTTTATTGATTTTTTACAGAGAGGAAGGGAGAGGGATAGAGAGTTAGAAACATCGATGAGAGAGAAACATCAATCAGCTACCTCCTGCACACTACCTCCTGGGTATGTGCCTGCAACCAAGGTACATGCCTTTGACCGGAATCGAACTTGAGACCCTTGAGTCTGCAGGCGGATGCTCTAGCCACTGGGCTAAACTGGTTAGGGCCATTTACCACCATTTTAATGGCTTAGGTATTCTTGGTTGATTCCAAAAAGCTGACAAGTGAAAGAAATAAGTAGAATCCTCTATTTATGAATTATTCTTATGTAATGCATAACATATTGCTTGAATTCCTGTTCTAAGCTTTTGTGTTTAATAACAATTTTTGAAAAGTGTGTTTCTAATAACAGCCGATAATAACCAGAATGGGAGTGAGTGACTTGTGGCAAATTTTGGAGCCTGTTAAGCAACACATCCACTTGAGTAGTCTTAGTGGGAAAACCATTGCTGTTGATCTGAGCCTCTGGGTGTGTGAAGCACAGACAGTCAAAAAAATGATTGGAACTGTCACGAAGCCTCACCTCAGGTACAGAACGTTCTTAGAATATAAATGTATGATTGCCTAAATAATTCATGTCTTGGTTTTGAGAATTTAAAAGATATTAATGTGCCTAAATCTGCCATCTCTATATTGATGACTCACAAATTTGTACCTCTTACCTTCTGAACTCTAGACTCACATACTTAGTTGTGCCTATTTAATATATTACTTGGCTGTTGCCATGACTGTAAGCCAGAAATTTGGGAGCCATTCTCTCCCTGTTTTACCTGGCCCAATGTCCAGTCGCTCAGAAGTCTTGGCAGTTCTTCCAAAAGAAACTTCTGTGTTTGTTCATAAACGTTACTGTCCAGAGGCACCACCTCAGTGTGTGCCAACATCATCTCTCATCTATACCGCGGAATGACTTCTTCACCGGCTTCCCTCCCTCAGTTCTGAGCCGCCACCACTGCCTCCTCCTCCTCCTCTTCCTCACCATTTTCCATATAGCAATTAAAACAATCCTAAGTTTCCCTTGCTTAAATACATTTAAATAACAAAAAATTTAGTGATTTCTTAGTCCCATGAAAATAAAATACATAAAATGTTATTGCATATGACCTTTTAGGTACTAGTCTAATGTTCTTGCCATTAACGGCATGCTGCTATGTTGGCTTTTGCTATCAATATATGAGGATTAATATATGACTAATTTTTATATTTCAGGAACTTATTTTTTCGTATCTCACATTTAACACTAATGGATGTAAAACTGGTGTTTGTTATGGAAGGGGAACCCCCAAAACTGAAAGCTGATGTCATAAACAAGAGGAATCAAATTCGGTATGGGCCTTCTGGAAAAATGTCGTCTCGGCAAACAGGGCGATCACATTTTAAATCAGTGTTAAGAGAGGTGAGCATTTGGATCTGATTTGATAATTCTTATTATACTGCATATAGAAGGCCAGTGTAGGTAGAGAAGAGTTTACATAGTGGAGTGAAACTGACTTAAGTTCAAGGCCTGGCTCTCACATCTTGAAACTCGAAGGTGTTCTGCAAGTTTTTAACTTATTTAAAATAAAAGTTTCCTATTGTGTGAATGAGGATAGTAATACTTTGCAGGGATGTGTTGAATATTAAAGAAAATCTTCAAATATCTAATATCTAATTAACTAGTACATAGTAGAGACTTGATAAATGTTACCTAAATGACATCTTTATCACTTAAAAGAATTCCCAGAACAGAGATCCATTAATTCATACTTCACTCATTCAGAATTGATGATAGTTCATGCATTGAACATACATATTTGACTTTCTTAGGGCTTTGTCGTTTTTAAAAGTATTTATTGTTATATTTTAATGTACTTACATATTACTTATAAAATGTTACATATTTTTATAAAAGTTAAATTATCCATAAAAAAATTATCCGTTTCATAAATTATGAAAACAATAAGAAACTGCTATTATTTTATTTTTTTTCAAATGTATATATTTTTAAAACTTGCCATTATAGTACATAAATAATTTTTATCTTGGACTTTTCATTTAATATGTCATATCCATATTTCCCTCTTGTTACATTTATGAGGCTATAAAATCATTACTCAGGATTGTATATATTGTTTACTTTTCAGCTCTTCCATTATATGTGAAATTACGATGCACATTTTTTGTGTACATACTTTTTTTCTTCTGATTTGGGATTTTTAAAATTACCCAAAATGAGATGGATAGACCAATGGTTTTATAGCTACTACCAATTATTTTCCACCAGTATAGATATGAAATAAGCAATTTCAGTGCACCCATAAGAACACAGAATGATGGGAGATTTATCTTTGTATTATTTACTATTCAAAATCAAAGATATTTCTTTGTTTATGTAATACATATATATACATATTTAATATGTATTGGTCTTTTAATGGTGAGGTTAAACATTTAACCTAGTTTTAGTCCCTCTGTGGATAATGGTCTTTACCCCACTTATCTCTTAAAGTTTTAATTTTTTGTTGTTGTCATTCAAGTTTTTTCGATATTAAAGATATAAACTTTTTATCATATTTGCTTTTAATTCATATCCTTGTTTTTCTTTTCAATTTATTTCTTTAAACGATATTATATAAGTTAATAATCATTTTCTCCTGAAATTCTGTTTTTTATTCTTAGGTAAGTTAAAAAAAATAGTTTTTAATTAGTAGCTATTCCACCTTAATGACTATCAATAGTTGAAGAAAATATACGTCCTGGATTCTAATTATTTCTTCTGTACACAGTTACTGGAAATAACCATGGTACGCATACTTAGAGCATTAAATGCCCAGAATAAAGCAAAAAGATGTCCCCCCCCCCTCTCTTTTTTTTTTTTTTAAGAAAATTACTCCATTCTTATTTCTTTACTAGAGGCCCAGTGCATGAAATTTGTGCATGGTGGTGATGGTGGTGGGGCACACTCCAATCTGGGATCCCTCGAGGGATGCCCAACTGCCCAGTTAGGCCCGATTTTATCAGACATCCCTCTCACAACCCTTTGCCTACCTGATTGCTCCTAACCACTTCTGCCTGTTAACCTGATCACTGCCTAATCACTCCCCTGCCAGCCTGATTGATGCTCCCCTACTGGCCTGATTGCCCTTGACTGCCCTCCCCTATTGGCCTGGTCACCCCTAACTGCCCTACCCTGCAAGTCTGGTTCCTCCACAACTGCCCTCCCCTGCAGGCCATCTTGTGATGGCCATCTTTGACCACATGGGGGTGACCATTTTTGTGTTGGCATTATGGTCAATTTGCATATCACCTCTTTATTATATAGGATTACAATAATTGGGGTGTTCTTAGACATTTTGCTCAGTGTTACTTGTCTATTCTTTTCATATTTCTGTACCCTCAGTTACTAGGCCTTACTTCCTCCTACTCCACTGCCAACTTTTATTTATAAGCATGAAAGGCACAAATTAGTCTTCTTCCAACATCACATCCACCCTCATGGGACAAGGCCTTAGGGTAGGGAAATTTACAACCAGCCTCATCAAAAATTCTCTGCTGGTTTTTGAAGAGCTGAAATGACAAATAGTACTGGAATCTAAAATAAATTTCAAACTCTTGTTTTTTTATGAAAGAATTTTTTTAACTAGAGGAAAGTTGAAGTAACTAGAGTGTTGCCATAAAACAATACCTGTAACAAAACTTGTCTTCTGAAAAGTACCCTTTTTGTCAACATAGTACTTTGTCTCTTTGGACCTTGTCCACGTTGGGCAACATCTGGCAGAGGATTTTCTTATGTAATATGGCATGTAAGCAATTGATCAGTTAAAGCAAAAGAGACGATATTTACTCTGTCATCTCTGCAAACTTACAGTGCCCTGGTTTCTTCACCTAACCCAGTATTCCCCAGTAATAGAATTTGAGAATTATACATGACAAGAAAGAATACACTGGGGTATAAGACTATACTATATCCTCAGTTGGGTTAAGTTCATAATCCAAAGAAAATTCAGGATTATTTATGCATCAGCAAACTGATAGGAACATTCTGCACAGACATTTGACTTCCTAGGAACACATCAACAGCTGACCTCTGTGGTTTCCCACCATTTGTTTCATTATAGGGGAGAGATGATATGAGGCAAAGAAGAGAACTAAAGCCTCAAGCCAAATTGCATAATCACCTCATATTTACATTGACATCATGTGAAAATTTTTGTAATTTTACAGACGTAAATATTAATGTGATTAATCGTTTAAAAGATATTTCCAGAATCTTGAGATACTATTAAGCAAGTATCATAACTTGTAAGACACCTATATAACACTGTTAACATCTATAATAAAAGTGTAATATGTTAATTAGATCGGACTGCCGAATGAGCGTCCTTCCGGTGACCTTCTGAACAAAACTGGGGCTGCAAGGACCCGAGGCAAGTTGTGGCTGCAGGGACCAAGCCCCTTGCATGAATTTCATGCATCAGGCCTCTAGTTTGTAATATAGAAAAGTAAGTGAAAAAAATTAGCAATAACCGTGTTCTTAGATTTCTTGCACCTGCTTTTTCTTTTCAGTGTCTTGAATTGCTGGAATGCTTAGGAATTCCCTGGGTCCAAGCTGCTGGGGAAGCGGAAGCCATGTGCGCTTACCTCGATGCCAGCGGTTATGTGGACGGCTGCCTCACCAATGATGGGGATGCTTTCCTCTACGGGGCCCAGACTGTTTATAGGAACTTCACTATGAACACCAAGGTGTTTTTTTCTTCCTCTCTGTCAGCATTTAAAGAGATTACTGATTAATTGGAAAATGTGCTTATTACTGTTATTAAATATCATTGCCACAGAGTTCATTCTCTTTGAAGTGTAGATTTCTCTCTCAAGGGTTTGACTTTTTTCACATACTTTAATTCTAAATTAGTTTTAAAAGTATATTATAAAATTGCATATGAAATTTATTGCTTTTACCCAGAGATTCTACTTTTAATAATTTATCCTCAAAAACACCTCCAAATATGCATGGAGAGGTATGCAAGGTTACTATTTCCAGCAATGTCAGTAATCACAAAAATTTGATAAGCAACCCAAATGCCTATTGACAGGGATCAATTAAATATAGTCATGGTTCTCAGCTAGGGAGCTATTACTAGGGGACATCTTGGTTATAACTATTCAAGGTCGGAAAAGGGAGACTGTAGACGTTCAATGGATTGGAGCCAGGAAAGCTAAATCTCTTGCCAGACAATTCTGTGATCTCTGAAAATGCTTATAGTATCCCCATTGAGAAACACTTCCCTAGAATTGATATAATGTAAGAGTAAGCAGTTATTAAAATAGTATTTAGTATTAACATTAAAAATACATAGATATATTAGTGGGTAAGAAATGTTGCAAAATATTTCTTTTATATAATCCTGTTTTTACTTAAAATTTGCTTTGTACCAAATATTTGTGCATGTGTGTAAAAGAAAAGGTATTCTGGAAGAATATGTACCACACTGTTAATGTTAACTTTAGAAATTGCAATTATAGGGAAAGTTTTCTTTCAGTAATATACATTTTAAAGTGTTTAATTTTGTAAAATGAAAATCTACTTTTGTATACCGAAAGTAATAAAGAAGGAAAAAATGAATACTGAAATGGTTAGCTATTTTTGAAACTATGACTATTTCCAGATATTAAAGGTTTTAGATTCTACAAAGATTCTGGTTATTAGGATAATTTTTCTTTTTAAACATTTGGGAGTAATTAAATACTGAAAGACACCTTTGATGCATTTTTGTAATGCTGTTTAATGTATAAACATTTACATTTTGAAGGTTAAACAAATTTGTGCTTTCTTTTAGGACCCACATGTTGACTGTTATACCATGTCATCGGTTAAGAGTAAACTAGGTTTGGATAGAGATGCTCTGGTTGGACTGGCAGTACTGCTTGGCTGTGATTATCTTCCAAAGGTACACTGAAAATCACTATTCATCCGGTGGGGTTTTTTCACTCCTTTCCATTTGCATAAATACAGTATTGTTTTATGATTAAGAACCTAATTTAGATGATAATTTTAGGCATAATAAAATATTCAATAACTAAAATAATCAGCATTTCAAATGGCATTAAAAAGCTGGTTCATTCTGACACTGAAGCTTCTAAATGAGAATAGAATAATAGTTACTATCACAGTTTGAATCTCATAACCATTGCTCTAGATTAAGAATTCACATTCAAATTTCAACTACTCTTTTAAAGAAATAGAGGAATTATTCTTTTCTTGTGTCATGCTAATGTTAGTTCCTATCACTGTTTTATCTGTTTTCTGGTTTTCAGTCTTTAGCTTTCCCGCTGTGCACACGCTTGGTGTTGTTATTATTGTTGCTAGGCTACATGATTATTGGGATAAGCCATTCATCCTTTCGTGCTGCATTCAATTTTGTTCAGAAAACCTTTTATTTATTCTTAGCATGCACAATACTAGTATAATGCTCTGTAACAAGTAGGTATATTCAGTGAGTGATTAAGAATTATGAGGATACCCCCATTCTTAAATACTATATTTAAAAATATAAAATTACTTCTATTATAGCTCTTATTATATAGTCCCATTATTATGTCCCTACTGATCATCTCTTCTTACTGAATCCCTCACATACTATACTGTATATGCTATCCCCAAGAGACATCTAGAGATGGAGGACATATAATTTTTTTTAGCTAGAGCTTAGGAGAGAGGAAAAATAAGTCAAATTATTAATTCTAATTTCTAATTTATGTGACCAGATGGTGAAATCAAGTTTTAAAAAAAAAAATATCAAGAAGGAGGAATGAGACTTTTAAATAACACAAAAAATAATTATTTTATTATAATTGTAATTCTGAAATGGAAAATTTATATTTCCCTTTTGTAATTATTAAATCCTAAAGACTAGAAGCAGCCTACTGTTGAATGTAAGAAACCAACTTTATCTACAGTGGTGTTACATTATGCATTAGCCTTAACTATTTTGAACATTTGTATCGTTCATAACCCAAATTGCCATCTATTTATATTATTCTTTAATTTAAAAGATTGTTAAGACTGTATACTAATACTAAAGGGGTCCCTCCCCCCACTGCCATTGCACTCAACAGTGGTGAACCCAGCTCAGGGCTTCTGGCTGAGCACACTGACCACCAGGGGGCAGCTCCTGTGTGGTTGGTACACATCATAGCGACCAGTTGTTCTGCCATTTGGTCGTTTTGCATTTTGGCCTTTTATAATATAGGCCTAGAGCACAACATTCATGCACTGATGGCAGGGGAGGGGGGATGGATCCTCAGCCTGCTCTGCGCCCTCTCGCAGCCCTAGACTCCTTGGGAGATGTCCACCTGCCAGCTTAGGTCCATTCCCCGCTGGCAGCTAGACATCCCCCTAGGGGGCCTTAGTGCTGCACTCACCAGTGGTGAGCCTGGCTTCTGGCTGAGCAGTGCTCCCCTTGTAGTAGGAATGCACTGACCACCAGGGGACAGTTCCTGCATTGAGTGTCTGTCCTCTGGTGGTCAGTACATGTTAAAGCAACTGGTTGTTCTGCCATTTGGTCAATTTGTCTTCAAAATTTTAAGACGTAGCTAAGTACTGATAGAAAAAGAGTAATACACAAAATGTTAGGCAACTGGTATACAGAGGACATAGGCTTGTGATTGCTGTCTGTTGTGTCATGTGCTACCATTTTAGTACAGGATCCTAGTGGGTTGGGAAGGGTATTCAGGTTAAAGGGTTTGCCAGCAGACACTCAGGACACTTGAGGAGTTTTTTAAGACTGGTATGTCTATTCCAGTGCATATTGGCTAAATAGCAGCCTTACTTATAAAGACATACTCACAAACTTTTAGAGGAACTGGAAGACTCAACTTAAACCAGAAATTATCATGTGAATTTATGCTAATTTATGATAAAATTGGAGTTTGTTTTAATTTTCTTAACTTGGAACTCTTTTTTTGTTCTCTTTTGATATCTGGGTCTTTAAATATTAAATTTCATATCATTAAATGATATGCTTGTTTCCAATTACAAATATAACATAAAGTTAGCTTAAATAAAAGTATTACCCAAGTCATTAACAAAGAAAGCGAATGCCCTCTAAAATTCTGTTCTCCTTCCCCTAAAAAACAAAAACAAAAAAATATCAGTGGTTTGGTATATAATCCTCTGACTGTCTTCCTCTGAATAGATTAACAATATAATTGTTACTTAACTTACAAATCTAGATCAGACCATAGGCTATTTGTGGTTTTCATCTTACACACAGCAATGTGTTTTGCACATCTTTTCCTATCATTACGGAGTTACCAACATTCTTTCAGTTGCACCAACTTCTTTGGAATGGACTTAAATTGTACTTTATTTATTTTCTTATGATTAACATTTGAATTTCTTTCCCCCTTTCTGAAAGGGCGTCCCTGGAGTTGGAAAAGAGCAAGCATTAAAACTTATACAGATTTTGAAAGGGCAGAGTTTACTTCAGAGGTAACTAAAAATTAAGTTTTCTTGTGACATCAGACTTTTATTCTTGTTGAATTTTATAGTGAATATTACAGAGGCTTCGTGCAATGGGGGGTGGGGGGGTCCTCTCAGCCCAGCCTGTGCCTTCTTGTAGTCCGGGTCCCCCTGGGGGATATCCACCAAGGGGTCCTTAGAGCTGCCTTGGAGGCAGGAGAGGCTCTTGCCCCCGCCACCTCCCTGCGCGCCACTTTGCTAGCCAGCTGTGATCCTGGCTTCTGGCTGAGCTGCGCTACCCCTGAGGGAGTGCACTGACCCCAGGGGGGGGTGGGGGGAACAGCTACATTCGTTGTGTGTCTGCCCCCTAGTGGTTAGTGCATGTTATAGCGACCTGTCATTCCGCCTTTTGGTGGATTGCATATTAGTCTTTTATTATATAGGATTACAAAAAGTATTATGCTTTCCCAAGAAACGATTTTGTATTTTTAAATTGATTTATATTTTCATTTGAAATATCTAATTTTAGTTTGAAATTTTCCAAAGTAAGGGTGGGCAAAAGTAGGTTTACATATGGAAAATAATACAATAGTTAATAAATAATAATGCAAGAATAAACTCTGTTTCACATACAACTTTAAACCAACCCCTGTATACCCTAAGCCATACTATATATTTTTTTCAATATTACTAGCTTACTATAAACACAAGTAGATGTCAGATGTATTTATTGATGACCATGGGCATTTGCTGTGGGCTATTTTAGACTATTTTACTACCAAGTAAAGTAATGTAACATTAAAATAGTTTTATCCTTAAAAACATTTTTTATTTTATCCTTAAAGTTATTTTTATATAAAATACTTTGATATTGAATTTATTTTTGTAAATGAAATGCCTAACATGTTATAAATATTTAATAAGTAACACTTGATCAAAACTTTTACTTGACTTACTTTGTTCTATAACATATGTATTCAAATTAATTTAGACTGTACAATTTAAGCGTTTGAACCAGTTAAGATAAAGAATATATTGAAATGTACAGACTATGTTACTTAGTTTTAAAAGCATGTGAACTAGATTTACTTGATGAAAGTAAATGAAAATTAATATTAAGGTTGATAAAATAGAGTGAATAAAGGAAAAAATGAGAACACTGGAGACTTAAACCAGCCGTGGCCTCCTAGTAGGTTTGAGATGGTGAGTGCATGAAAGGAAACACAAGTTGTAGAAATCAAGAAGGAATAATAATGAAAACAATTTCAAATTACTGTGCTTTTTCCTATAATACTTCTCTTTCAGCTGAAAAGCTATTGAAAGCTCTAAGCCTTCAATAAATTCATTATTGAGATCAGTGATTACTGTGCCAAAGCAGGAAAACAAGGTATTCTTTGGCATAGAGGTGAGTTAAGGAATTATTTGGGAATTGTGAAAACTAATAGAAAGAGCGAAAAACAAGCAAATATGGTCCTTGTCCAGCTACATGTCATTTTAGCAAATTTGTACTTTTGGCAACATTTTATTAAATGTTAACATTTGAAAAGAATGGAATTACATTTTTTGTTATAATTATGTTTTAATTTTTATTAGCTTAGACTAACTTTTCCCCTGTATATTTTTAACATTTGAATCTCTATTATTTATCCAGTAGCCAGCATCAGTTAATGCTAATTTTTAACACGCTTGTCATTGGTCTTTGTAATATATGAATTAGAAGTTCCAAAAGCTAAATAGTAACTCTCAGTACCAGTTTCTAGACAGCAAACTGAAGAGATAATTTAGTCTTTTATTAGAACTTTAACTTCTCTTAGTAGAGGAACAATTCAGAAATTATATTTTATGACGATGTTTATCCTCTTGGTAGTTTTAAGTTGACATGAAACTATTAGTGAAAAATTGACTATTATGCCTTAGCTGGTATGGCTCAGTGGGTAGAGTGTTGGCCTGTGAACTGAAGGGTCCTGAGTTTGGTTACAGTCAAGGGCGCATGCCTGGGTTGCGGGCTCAGTTCCCCCAGTTGGTGGGGGGGGGGGCGAGTGTAGGAGGCAACCAATACATGATTCCCTCTCTTCATTGATGTTTGTATCTCTCTCTTCCTCTTCCTCTCTGAAATCAATGAAAATATATTTTTTTAAATTAACTATTTAGTAAAGATTTTAACAGTAATATACATTTTCTTAAAATCTTTCATTAAACAAGTAATGCTTATGCTGTTTGGAAAGGGATAATAAGAAAATGACAATTTCAAATTATCTGGATTTTTAAAACAGTTCTTACCCAGAAACTTCATGTTTTATTTAGTGTTATATGTTGCCCTTGACCCTTATGTTGATATACAGAAGTGTTCATGATTCTCTTTGTTTTATGCTCTGGCACTTAAAAAATATATAAAAAACAAATGTATATGAATCATTCTCCCTACATGTATGCATAAGTAAAGATTCTTTTTTTAAAAATAAAGGCTGAATGAATATATCAGTATACACACACACGCACACACACACACGCACATTCTTTCTCTCCCTCTCCCCTGTTCTGACACTCTTTCTCCTCCCCTGTTGGAATTCTTCTGTTCTTGGGGACACAACTAAAAATTGAGATACGTTAATTGAGGGTTTTTCTAATTTGGACAGTAACTTTACCGCTAAATGGAAAACAAGTTAATAGGTTGGAAGGGAACAGAATAACCTGATATTTGAGAACATGGCACTTTGGTGACCTTGGGTTTTTTTTGTGTTTGTTTGGTTTTACTTTTTAAAACCATTTTCTTTTAAAGGTTTATTCAATGGAGTGAAGACAAATCTTGTGACTCTAATCAACAACCACTAGTTATTAAAAAACTGGCTCATTGCTCAGTGTGTTCCCATCCAGGTAAGCAAATATAGGGAATGATATCTTGAAGAGTTAGTGTCAGATACCCACATTTTCACCCCTATTTTATAGCTACATTTTATATTATCTTTCCGCTAGATTAGGAATCCTCAGAGACAGGAGTTGTCATCTTTACTAATAAAAGAGTAAAATGTGATTAGACCAGGAGATCTTCCGGACATCCTTTCAGACAAAGCCATGGTGGCAGGGCCAAGGCAGAGGTGGTTAGGGGCAATCAGGCCGGCAGGGGAGGGCAGTTGGAGGTGATCAGCTGGTAGGGTATGTCAGTTGGGGCGATCAGGAAGGTGTCCCTGATTGGAGAGGGTGCAGGCCACTAGTATATACTTAATAGGCACTCAGTAAATGTTAGTTGAATGAAATAAAGTGATATAAATGTAGAACAAGCACAATTTCAAATTATGAATCCAAATTACTTAGATCTTAAAATTATGTTTTTAATATAGAAATCTATTTTAAGGGGAAAAATACACTAATAATATTGGGGAAAGGGAATTGAAACTATTTGTTTCATTGAAATGGTTCTTAATTGTCCTATAGTGCATTTTGATTGTGTGAAGATAGTACCTGGAAACTAATTTCTAAAACATGTTCATTATTTTTTAAAATAGCTTGGTTTCTCTTTATTAATTTTTGTTTAAAAAAAAAAAAAGATATCACTGATACGTAGTAGATTAGAAAGGTCTTCCACTTTCAGGAGAGATTGAGATCATGTTAGTTCATCTTTTAAAAGAAATTCTGCTTTATGTATTAGTCTTTTTTTTTTTTTTTTTTTTAATTCTCACCTGAGGATGTATTTCCATTGAATTTAGAGAAGGGAAGAGGGAGAGACAGAAAGAGTCTTCCTCGATGTGAGAGAGAAGAACATCCATCAGTTGCCTCGCATACCCACCATGACTTGAGGATCAAACCCCCTTCAGTGCAAAGGATGACACTCCAGCCAACCAAGTCACACTAGCCACGGCATTTACCTATTTGTCTTACTATGTTTTCATTAACATTATTACATTAGAGCTGAAATCATGGAAGAAAAAAATTTTTATGGATAAGATTCCATTCTATATTTTCTTGATAACTTATAAATGATCATGTTAGGTCATATCAATTATGTATGTTCTTCTGTATTCTCAAAACAATGATGAAAATGGTCATGCTTCCTTTTAAAGGGAACTAGGGGCCCACACCTTTGTCACAGTCATAATTTGTTCACCTTCCAAGCATAATCTAAAAATAGTTATACGGTAACTTAGAGCTAGACACTAAAAGAGGGAATTAATTGCTGTATTCTTTTAATATTTTAATTAAGGAAACCATTTCATAAATTATTCTATAAAGTAAGTAATCTTTTTTAATAATAATTATAGCCTACCAAATTGTATTTATCTACCAAATTAACTGCAAACTTTTCCATTGATTATTATGAATGTATAATTTCAAGTTATAAATGAAAACTTTCAGATAATGGAATTTGCAGAAACAAAGTGTCAGGTGATAGTAATTGCTTAGGATCTACCTCACCTGAAAAATTACTATGGTGTGCATTATTCTCGTCAACCTAAATGTATTGAAACCCTTTCATAAGCCAGACACTGTTAGGCAGTATAAATGTTTGAAAATTTGGGTAAGGGCAAGAAAAAAAGTATAATAGAAGATAATTCTAAAAAGCAGTGAAAATCATACTTTCTTACTATCGCCCTAAAGGTTCACCTAAGAATCATGAGCGTAATGGATGCAAATCATGTCAGACTGATCGATATGGTGAACCGCATGATTATGGACACTGCCGTCCCTGTGAGTGGCACCGAACTGAGCAGGATAGGCCGCTGATCACAGTGGAGAACAATATTAAGAAGTAAGTTTTGCTTTTGACTTATTCTTTTCTGGCATGACCTATTTTATACACCTGTGGTTGAAGTATTTCCACAACGCCTTCCCCCATGTCTAAATTAATATTTCACAAAACCCTTTTCTTGAATCTGCTAAACATACAGGCATTTCAGGAGATGGTAATATGATAGTTATTCAAAGTGAAACTTGATGACTGAGATACTATACAAGGACATTTTTCATTAAATGAGATGAGATAGTTTTAATCTGATTATATTAATAACGTGTGTATAATCTGTTTTCAGAAAAGCTTGCCGTTGTGAGGGATTCCCATTCCATGAGGTAATAACTAATAATTCAAGTGTGTTTATTTCAGAAGTTTTCTTTTTTTAAAGTTTGAAGTCTCATTTCCTGTTTTCTTTTCTCTTATTAGGTTATTCAAGAATTCCTTTTGAACAAGGATAAATTGGAAAAGGCAATCAGGTATCAAAGACCTGATTTATTATTGTTTCAGGTATCTAAAAATAAATTCTTTACAGTATGAAGTTGAATACTAGGAAGATGGAAGGAATAATCACTTTGTCTTCATTTCTTTGCTACATAGTAACCGTACTTTGCAGACCATAAGGCAAATTATAATTATGCTGTTTGTTAGAAAACACCTTAATACCTTGTACAGATATATTGTATTCAGGGGTGCATTGAGAGAGAGGGGCTGATGACCAAAGAATGTCAGGATTGAGTATTCTGTTAGGCGAGGTAGTATAATTTGCATGGACATTGTGATTTGTAATCAGTTACATAAATTTAAATCTTGATAGTCTATCATTCACTTTGTGACAATGGATATGTGTTATCCTCAAAATAGAAATAATATTATCTTACAAAGTAACTATAAGGATTAAATGAGATTATTTATATTAACCCTTAATAGAGTGGGTAGGGAAACAATGGCTCAGTAAATTATAAGTACTTCTTGCTTATTCCTGTCAACAAAAGAAATAATGGTAACCAACATTTATTGAACATTTAAAATTTGCTTTTTTAAAAAACATATTACATATAATGTCACTTAATCTTCATAATCTGTGAGCTGGGTTTTATTTTACCTGAGGTTGAGAGAAGTTAAGTAACTTACCAACATCTAGGAAATATCATGCTGACATCCAAATGGAGAACCCTCACAATCCCTGTGTACTATTGGCTCCTGAGGATGCTCATTGTTCTGTCAGTGAGAATACTTTAATGTTCGTTCTGAAGGAAAAATATCATCTGAGTGCTCTTTGTCTCCAAAAGATAAAATCTTATTTCATTTTTATTATATTTACAGAGATTTACTCTTGAAAAAATGGAGTGGCCCAGTCACTATGCCTGTGAGAAATTGTTGGTACTTTTGACCCACTATGACATGACAGAAAGAAAACTTGGTAGAAGACACTCTAATCAACTACAGCCAATTCGGTATGAATTGTGTGTGTTTGCATTTGAATATCTTAGGATCTAAAATTTTCTTCTTAATATCTTTGTAAAGATAGAGGAAAGGTCTCCCGGAATAATAAAAGCTTAGTCAGGGCTTACAACCAAGATAACATAATAACTTCATACTCTGACATACTTTTCTGCTTTGAACACATAGTTATAATAGATTAGCAGAAATTACAGCCAGGCGTAACCAGATAACTTTTTCAGTGACCAGAAAGGGACAAAAATGTAAAGTGAATAGAGGGACCTCAGTGAAGGGTATGTGAGTGATCTTTGTACTATTCTTGCAAGTTTTCTAAAGGTTTAAAACTTTCAAAATAAAAAGTTTGCAGGAAAGTATCAAAGAAAAAAGATAAGCAACAAAGAAAAGACAATGAGATAGCACACATCTTTCATAATAGTAATAGATGTCAGGATATAACAATAATATTTCAAAATAATTGGCAGCTTAAACATTATTAGAATATTATTCACTGGTTGGTAAGGCATTTTCAGACAAATGAAGACTGAGAAAGCACTATTAAAGGATGTACTTCATTCAGCAAGAAGAAAACTGAACCCAGGGGGAAAATGTAGTTAACAAGGAATGAATAGTGGGCAGCACAAAATTGATAAAACATAGCTAAATTAATAAACTGACTGAAAATGTATATAAATAACTGCATATTGCTTAAGGGTTAAAATATGGTCAGAAACTTCCAAAGTGTATATGTAGACATATAAGGGTAACTACTAAAACATTAGAAATACAATATCTTCCAACCAATTCATAAAATAAAACTATCAAACCAAGCCCTGGCCTGATGATTCAGTTAGTTAAAGCACCGTGCCCTAAAAGTTATGGGTTCGATTCTGATCAGGGTACACATACTGGAGGTAACAAATTGATATTTCTCACATTGATGTTTCTCCCTCTCTCTTTCCTCCTTCTCTTTCTAAAATCAATAATCATATCCTCAGGTGAGAATTAAAAAAAAAAGCACACACAAAATGACCAAGCCAAGGAGGAAGGGGGAAATAGTGAAGAAAAAGCTTGATAATAGACAACACAGAATAACAAATAGGAATGAGTTCCACTATGTTAGTAATCACAATAAATGTAAGTAGATTTATCTCATCTATTAGAAGACATTATATTGGATGAGTAAACAAAATTCAGCAATATTCTTATAGGACATGTACAGAATATACATTAAGTTAGAAAATAAAGAGACTTAAAAGATTTACCAGGCAAATATTTACCAAAGTGATATGTAGCAAAATTAACAGAAACTGAATAGACTTTAAAACAAAAATTATTATGGAAAAATGCCATACTGAATAATAATGAAAGGAACAATATTTATACGCTCTAAAAATTATAAACCCTATACCCCTAACAATAAAATCTGCGTAAATTAGTTGAATAACAATGTAATAATTCCTTTCAATATTTTTAATATTGTAAAAATAGAATAAGAATCAATGAATATTGAATTATTCAATATATAAATTGAAAACTTCAATAACTCAGCAATTGGACTTCATTAGATGAATTTGTTTTTCAGAATTGTTAAAAATCGGGTCAGAAATGGAGTTCATTGCTTTGAAATAGAGTGGGAAAAGCCTGGTATGTATTCAGTTTAAGTAGTTTTTATAACATTAAACCATACATGTTTAGCAAATATTGTACACATATGTAAAATATATGTATGTATGTAAAAAATAGAGAAGAAATGTGTACCCGGGGTTAATTTCATAGTTTCCTTGTGCTATTTAAATAGGCTTTGACTAATACTAAGATTGAAAACTTCAAATAACTTTATTTTAGTTTTTTAAATTGGCATTTCTTTTGTACTTAATATTTAAAAAATAATATGGAAATAGTTTGGATTGGTATATTTCTAGAAAATACTGCTCATTGGATTGCACTGTGTAGCTGCTTCTAAAGAAATCAAGGTTGCTAATCAGCACGGGGGGTACTTTTCTCATTTTCTCACTCTAGTTTTCACAGGAATTTTTACTTGTCTTACTCTTATTTTTGCTATAGAAAAGAATACAGTAAACTCTGAATTAGCACCAAAACCAAAGGCAAGAAAAGCACAGATTATTTAAATGGAAAACAATCCCAGTTTCATTTCTGTTAGGCATTGAGATGATATTGTGTGATTATGGGTGAATGAGTGAGAGAATAGATTTATCAATGAAGGTTTAAGTTGTAGGCAACTTGAAGGATGAAATTAATAAAGAATTAGATAAATAGCCGAAACCGGTTTGGCTCAGTGGTAGAGCGTCGGTCTGCGGAGTGAAAGGTCCCAGATTCGATTCCGGTCAGGGGCATGTACATTGGTTGCGGGCACATCCCCAGTAGAGGGTGTGCAAGAGGCAGCTGGTCGATGTTTCTCTCTCATTGACATTTCTAGCTCTCCATCCCTCTCTCCTCCTCTCTGTAAAAAATCAATAAAATATATATTTTTTTTAAAAACAAAAACAAAAGAAGAATTAGATAAACAGTTCTAAGCAATAAGAAGATAGAAAGCTAAAGAATTTTGAAGACTGTTTGGAAGCAGACCTAATCTTTATAGGGAACTCATACAACTTAACAAAAGGAAGATAATCCAATAAAAAAAAAAAATGTGCAAAGGAAATAGACACTTTCCAAAAGTGGACATACAGAGGCCAAGAAACATATGAAAACATACTCAAAGTCACTAATCATCTGAGAGATGCAAATCAAAACAACAATGAGGTACCATCTCATACATGACAGAATAGGTATAGCCACTATGGGAAACAGTATGGAATTTCCTCACAAAATCAAAAATGGAACTCCCATTTGATCCAGTGATCCCACTTCTAGGAAATATTCTAAGGAATCAGAAACACCAATCAGAAAGGATATATACACCGTTCATAGCAGCACAATCTACAATAGCTACGTTTGGAAATATCCGAAGTGCCCATCAGCAGATGAATACATCTGTGCAGTGGAATACTAGCTGCTGTAAAAAAGAAACTTTTATCATTTGCAACAGCATGGATGGACCTTAAGAGCATTATGCTAAGCAAAATAATCAAGTCAGAGAAAGATAAATAGCACACAATCTCATTTATTTGTGGAATATAATGAACAACATAAACTGATGAAGAAAAATAGATCCAGAGACATAGAAGCATCAAACAGACTGTCTAACCTCAAAGGGAAGGCAGGGGGGAAGATAGGGGGAGCGGGGGCCTTATGGGGTAAGAGAGCAACTAAAGGACTTGTATGCATACATATAAACATAAGCCATAGACACATACAGTAAGGGGTGAGAGCATGTACTTGGGGGTGGGAATGGCTGGGGAGATATCAATGGGGGAAAAGAAGACATATGTAATACTTTAAACAATAAGGAATATTAAAAAAATAAGCTAATCTCCTTCCAGCTCTTGTTAGGCAGAAGAAAATTAATTCTATACTAGAATCAGCAGATTATTAGAATAGAGATGTTATAAAGCAATATTTGCAGTACATCATCCATTTGTGGATGACTTAGTTTACCTCAAAAATTGAATTTTTCATATCTAATTAAGGCTGTTTTACTGTATTTTTAATCTGTTAGAATATTATGCTATCGAAGATAAACATGGAGAATTAGTTCTACAAACAATAGAAGAAGAATCATTATTTGAAGCAGCTTTTCCAGAGATTGTTGCTGTTTATCACAAACAAAAGTTAGAAATTAAAGAAAAGAAAAAGAAAAGTAAGTATCTCATTTGATAGCCACACACAGCTGTTGTAGAGGAGCTATCTCTTCTATCTCTTCTATACGAGTCTATATGTCTAAATTTTGCTGTAAGTTCTATATAAGAACTTGCTTCTTTGTCTTAATATACTTTATTTTAAAGCCTAAAAGCCAAGACTAACCCATTCTCATATGTGTGATAACTTAACCAAGTGTTAATAATAGTAATTACACCAACCACTTATTGAGCAAGTAGTATATGTAATATATTTTGGATTACAAATACATTTTCTTTAGTTCATAGAAAAACTAAGGAAGAGAATTTGATCAAACATTGTTTCCTGGAGAAAATATTTTATAATATGTTGTCATTAATTATTTTGTTATAATTACTTACACCACAGTTTCCAAGAATGCACTGGGACAAAAATGCAGAAATTGCTTATGTAGTTTTCAGTCTGAACTGTTTAGTTTATTTGTTTACTCAAGTTAATTCAAATAAAACGGGTTTTAATCATATTGTATTATTTTTTTTCTTTTCAGGCATGAAAACTAAGCCTAAAGAAAATAATTTGCCACAAACAGATGATTTGCCACTCATAACTTTAAAACCCACATGTGAAATCTCTTCTAAACAGAATTCCAAATTAAATTTGGAAAATTTCCCTGATTCTATATTACCCCAGGAATCTCTTTCTGCATCATTGAATAGCTTGCTTTTATCTGAAGATGCTCTCTGTTTGAATACTCAAGAACAGTTAATCTCTTCTTCAAAACCTTTGACTACACAGAAAATTACAGCTGTTAGTAAATCTCTAATTTCAGAATCTAGTCAACCAAATATCTCATCCCATAAAGTGTCAGCTATTGCTGATTTAAACTTGAGCAGCATTGACTGGGAGGGAACTTCTTTTAGTAATTCTCCAGCTATTCCAAGGAATACTTGCTCTCATGGCTTAAAATCAGGACTTGAAACAGCCATCCTTCATAGCTTTAAACGTATCCCAGGACAATTGTCACATGACTCAGAATGGTACACCACAAACATAAATAAAGTGTTAAGTTGTGATCTTCAAAAGACTAATCCTGAAGAGCATCTGTCTTCTGGCATTACTGACTTACATCGTCAGGACCTGCCTTTAAAGGAACGAATACTTAAAAAGTCATTACATCCTCTGGGTAATGTACATTCAGACCTGGAAACTTTATCCGTACGCACAGCAAATAAATGTAATGCTAACGGTTCTGATTGTCCATCACATCTTTCAAAGGATCTAGGAATTTATTTGCAAAAGGAATCTAGGAACTCTGAAGTTCAAAAAGGAGACCAGCTGTTTCAAGAAAACTATAAAGTGAATACTTCTTTACCCTATTCTGTCAAAAACATGGTAGTAAAGACCTCTGAGGCCAGAGGCGAGCCACCAAATACTTGGTTAGATCATAACAGAAATGTTGACTTGCAAACCACTCAGAAAATTGTAACGAAGAAAAGTGTTTGCCTTGACAGATATGCCTCTGATGGAAAAAGTGCCTCAGTGTTTGGGAAAGCTGTGAATGCAACTGAGAAAACGGAGCAGAGTTTTCAGAAGCACAAACCAGCCCCATTCCAGAAAAATGATGCCAACAAATTGAGTAACCCTAAGATACATATGAAAGAGACGGAACAATATGTCCAGACTTCTAAAACAGCTGTAAATGAAGAAAACTGTTTCCCAGATGCAGCCAAAGGTTCTCTGGGTTTCCCACAGTGTCAGAAGGGAAAAGATGACTCTGGTACTTGCTTGGATAGTCCTCTTCCTTTATGTCAGAGATTAAAACTGAGGTTCCAAAACACTTGAAATTAAAAATGTTTAAGTGTTCGTTAATATTCTGAGATCATCAGCATTAGCAGAGGCAGAAGGAAGGTGTCTAATTATTAATGTTTGGCAGAAAAATGTAATGTAGTTTATATGTCAGGAGATACTTTTTGCCATTTTAATCAAAATTATGATTTTAAAAAATTATCTAAAATTTTCATTTTAAAAGATAATCTTTGTGGTCAAAACTGTAGATAATGTATATTTTTAAAACTCTTGCCATATTTTATATCTTCATTGACTATTCCTTAGTCATAGCTTTAAAGTGTAAATATAGTACTAGGCAGAGTAAAGGCTTCATCTTTTTGCTCATTTATACTCATTTCTTACACAAACCTCTATAGTGTTTGTATTTCAGCTTGTTCCCAAGAAGATAATTCTTTATAATTGCCTATAATCTCAATGTCTTCTATTGTGCCTTTTTTTGAGAGTTATATTTCTCTCCATGTGAAGATACTTTTAGTATACTCTTTTGCTTTGGTAACTTTATTTCTCTTTTTGGAGGGAAAAATGGGAAAGGAGGAAGATGATCTATATAGTAAAAATCATGGTTGTAATGCTGAATAAACTAAGGAAAGCTACTCTTTCTATTATATATCCCCAGAAGTTTTTAACAGGTATGCCAAATGGAAAAAAAGATTTGAAAAATAGAATATGTAATCAGAAGAAAATTAGAAATCTGTTTAAGATCACACAGCTAATTAATAATGATGTGAGAATTAGATTTCTTGCCTTCTAGTTTGGTGGGATTTTTTAGGTTTTCTTTTTCTTCTATAGCACATTTTTATTTTAACAATCTATATAATATTGAGTTCAGCATCTCCAAATATTAAGGTGTTTATCATTTATCATTCAAAATGTCTATAGCCGTGGTGGGCAAACTGCAGCTCGCCAGCCTCATACTACTCTTTGGCCCCTTGAGTGTGGCTCTTCACAAAATACCACAGTCAGGGCTAGTCTATTTTGAAGAAGTGGCGTTAGAAGAAGTTAAGTTTAAAAAATTTGGCTCTCAAAAGAAATTTCATTCGTACTGTTGATATTTGGCTGTTGACTAATGAGTTTGCTGACCACTGGTCTAAAGCAAGCATGTCAAACACGCGGCCCGTATGCCATGTGCCTTATATATTAAAATGAGGCATGTGGCCCAGCGGCCTCAAGTTTGACATGCTTGGTCTAGAGGCAATCAGATTGGAAAGGAAAAAGTAAAATTCAATATTTGCAGATGACAACATTTTGAGTACGGAATCCACTAAAAACTACTAGAACCGATAAATGAGTTCATCACAGTTGTAGGATTTAAGATCAATATACAAACATCAATTGTGATTCTATATAGTGAGTAATACTAAATGAAGTTAAGAAAATTCTGTGTATAACAGCACTAAAAGAATAAAATGCTTTGTAATAAATTTATCAGAAGAAATTAAAAAATTATACTCTAAAAACTGCAAAAGTATTGTTGAATGGAAAATTTTAGAAATTTAAATAAATGGAAAGACATTCTATGTTCATGATTAGAAGACTTGATATTAAGATGGCAAACTAATTACAGATTTAGTGCAATCTCCATCAATTTCAGCTAATTTCTCTGCAGAAACTAACAAGCTGATTGTAAAATTCATATGGAAATTTATGGGACACAGATTAGGCAAAGCCATCTTTAAAAAGAAATGGGAGGACTTGCCCTTAAATCAGATTTGAAAATTTTCTACAAAGCTACAGTAATGAAGAATTTGTTGTCATCGTAGAAAGGTAGATATAGATATATATCAGTGGGATAGAATTGAGGGTCCAGAAATATACTCTCACATTTATGTTTCAATTGATTTTCAACCAGAGTGCCAAGACAATTTAGGGGGAAACAAGAGTCTTTCAGCAAATGCTACTGGTACAGCTGGATAGACACATGCAAAATAATGAAGGTGACCTGCTACCTCATATAATATACAACAACTAGAGTCCCGGCACATGAACAGCTGGGGTCCCTAGGCCTGGCTAGCGATCAGGGCCAATCAGTTTCCTTGCCTTCCTGCTTCCTCCTTCTCTTGCGGCCCGCATCCCCTGCCATCCATCCCTGGTTCTCTGTCCCAGCCCAGGGCCCAGCCCTGACCAGACAATCAGGACCTGCCGGCCATGGGGAGGGACTGGGAGTTTGGTGGGCAGACCCCATCAGCGATCAGGGCCTGTGGACTGGGGACAGCTCCCGCATTGAGTGTCTGCCTCCTGGTGGTCAGTGCATGTCATAGTGATCAATCGTTCTGGTTGCTTAGGCTTTTATATATATAGATAACTCAAATGGATCAAAAACTATGAAAGCTAAAGCTGCAATTAGATTAAAACAAACATAAATCTTCGTGACTTTGGATTAGGAAGTGATTTCTTTGATACACCACCAAAAGCTCAGACAAGAAAAAAATAAACTTCATAAAAATTAAAAATGCGTTTCAGAGGGCACCATTAAGATGAAGAGATGGGCCTGGCTGTGTTGCTCAATATTTAGGGCATCAGCCTGAGCATCAAAGGATCTCAGGTCCCATTCTCAGCACCGGTTAGGGTGCGTGCAGAGGCACCCAACCTCTCTCTCCCTATTTCCCTCTTCCCTTCCCTCCCTCCTCAATCCCTTACTTTCTCCACCCCTCTCCCTTCACTGTCTCTAAAAAAACTTGTGGGAAAAAATATCCTCAGGTGAAGTTTAACAATAACAAAAGAAAAGAGATAACCCACAAAATAGAAAATATTTGCAAGTCATAAAGGATTTAAATTGAGAGGCTTGTATAAAGAACTCTTAGCTCAATAATAAGACAAAAACCAGTAAAATATTTGCATAGACAATTCTCCAAAGAAAATACACAAATGGCCAATAAACACATGAAAAAATTCTTACCATTATCAGAAAAAATCAAAACCACAATGAGATACCACTTCCCACCTGCTAAGATAGCTAAATAAAAAAGACGGATAATAAGTGTTGGTGAGGATGTGGAGGACTTGGAACCCTTATAACCTGGTAGGGATGTAAAATTGGGTACCCACTTTGGAAAAAGTCTGATGGTTCCTCAATCAGTTAAACATAATTACCACATTATGCATCATATCCACTCCCAAGTATATACACAAGTGAAAGGCAATATCCACAAGAACTTGTACACAGATGTCCATAGAAATATTGTTCATAATAGCCAAAAGTGTAAATAACCAGAATGCCCATCAACTGATGAGTGGATAACAAAATGTGGTCTCTTCATGCAATTGGCAATAAAAAGAAATGAAGTACTAATAAATGTTATAATGTGATGAACCTTGAAAACATGCTTAGTGAAAAATGTCAGTCATAAAAGACCACATGTAGGATTCAATTTATTTTTTTAAATATATTTTATTAATTTTTACAGAGAGGAAGAGAGAGGGATAGAGAGTCAGAAACATCAATCAACTGTCTCCTGTACACCCCTTAATGGCAATGTGCCCGAAACCAAGTTACATGCCCTTGACCGGAATCAAACCCAGGACCCTTGAGTCTGCAGGCTGACACTATCTACTGAGCCAAACCAGTTAGGGCTGTTGAATTCAATTTATATAAAATGTTCAAATAGGCAAATCTATATAGAAACAAATTACACTCTTAACAGACTAATATTCATGCTCCTTAAATATTTGTTCCTTAAATTATCTCTTTATTCACTATTTCTACATATTTTCTGCTCTCATGTCTCAGCTACAGATATTTAGCCAAAGCTTTTCTTCTAATGCATAGATCTGCTAATTTAACCAATTCCTGACATCACTGGGGATAAAAGTACAGTAATAGAGATGGTGGAAGCTCTGAGTTGCCTGTTACATGTAACCTGGATGTACTGGGTTCTAGATGAAGTCATTGGATCATGCACATTCATTTATCCTGGAGAATTTACTCTGGGAAATAAGTGCATATGAAATGCCAAGGGCCAGCAGGAAATACAAATTAATATAAAACCCAATTCTTATTTTTAAGAAATTGAAAAGAGCAAGGTAAATGCATATTTACATACAAGAATCAATTATTTAAAAAAGAATATGCTGTTTAGCATAGAATTAGGAGTGTAATGAATGAAATAGACAATCACTGCCACGTGGATCAGAGGAGGGACTGTTCTTTGAAGAATAGGCAAAAAATTGGCAGAACTGTAGCCACATTACAACTGGACATTTCAGTGGATGAGAGATTGATTAGCTTGAGGGGAATGTTGGAATCTTATCTGGAACTTTGATCTCCAGGGAACAAATAGCTGTGCAGACAAGGAGTGGTCAGGGATTGAGAAGTAAAGAAAGAGAGCAGAAAGCAGACTCAGGTATCTTTGGGCAAGGAGAAAAAGAAATAGGACAAAGTGTAGCAAAGAACCTGACCAATACGCTGAAAGATTCTGACCAGATAAGCCATGTATAAAGGTTTATTTTGAATTCAGAAGAAAAAATAATCCTAATTAAAATATTTTCTTTGGGGATCTGCTGATCATGATTTGTTCAATCTGGGCACCACAGTTGGCTCTGATAGTTTAGGACTATCCAGTCCAGGTAAATACTATATAGAAATGTCCTTTTTTTAAATTTTTTTTTTATTGACTCAGAGGTGTGGTTCAGTGGTGAGGTCAACCTATGAACAAGGAGGTCACGGTTAGATTCCTAGTCAGAGCATATATCCAGACTGGGGGCTCAATCCCCAGTGTGGGATGTGCAAGAGTCAGCCAATCCTTTTTCATCATTGATGTTTCTATCTCCCTCTCCCTCTCTGAAATAAATTTTTAAAATATCATTAAAATCAAATATTATTTGCAGCTGACATATTACTCATTTAGTCACCTAACACATTTATTGAGCAACTACTTTGTAGAAGAGTCCTATGTTTCTCTGGTTATCACAGCCAGCTGGAGGTCCATGAAATTTAAAATAATTTTTTCAAATCACCCAGCTGGAAAACGCTTCAGTTGGGGCTAGAACTCAGGTCT